TGCCTCTCTGAGGAGCCCCTTTTTGGTATAAAAAGGTGCTAAAAGTTGGAAGAATCTCTGTGCTGAGCTTCACATGGCCAAGCTGAGCTCTTCAGCATGAACCAACCACCACCAAAGGCTCCTCGGAGGAGTTTCCAGGCTGGGGCACTTCTTCCCCCTCCTCTCTCTCTCTCTCTGCTGTCAGCTCAGGTTTCTCAAAGCTTACGCTAATATTAAATTTTAATGACTGGGAATCAAATGAGCTACAGTTGAGATGTTACTAAACATAACAGCTATGTTTATTCAGTTTAGCAAACAGCAGAATTCCCCAGGGAAGCAATTCCCCAGGTAGGGATGAGACAGGGAGGGTCATGTGAAGACAGTAGGGGGTTTTTCCACCCTGTGCTCTCCAGCATCAGCATCCCCTGAGCTAGAAGACCCTGAGTTAGAACCCTTCATCCCCAAAACTGCAAAGCTAATTAAATGGGATAAAGCTCGTGCTGCTCAGTGCAAGTGGCTCATGCACCTTTACACGCTGAAGAAGCAGAGGTGAGGAGCACTGGTGCCAGAAAGCCCCAGGCATGGGCTTGTCTTGTCTGGCTAAAGAGCATCCAACAACCTGGGCCACGGAGCTGATGGAATCAAATTCCTTGGTGTTTTTTTGGAAGATATCTGTGCTGGGGTAGCTTGGCTAAGTGAGCTAGAGCATAGGTTTTGTTTATCTGTTGCACAGTGGATTTTGAACTTGGGTTTCAAAGCCTGGTTGGTACTTAGTGTTGGTGATTCTGAGCTGGAACCTGCTTTGATTCACTGTGTTGGTTTTGGACAAACGTTGCCACATTTCACCTACAAAGCAGAGCATAATGCTCAGCCCTGGGTCAGAGGGACTGGCAGAGGTTTTTAGGCTCATTGCAGTACAGAGCGATGCCTCCCCTTTCATAGAGGAATTGGGTTGGAAGGGACCTTAAAGCTTATCTCCTTCCAACCCCTGGACAGAGACACCTTCCACTAGACCACATTGCTTCAAGCTCTGTCCAACCTGACCTTGAACACTTCCAGGGATGGGGCAGCCACAGCTTCTCCGTGCAGTCCCACGAGAGAAGATATCATGCCAGAATGGATTTATTTTGCTGAGGACACTTTGTCCTCATGAGGAGGATGAGAGCAGGATCAAGGCAGCAACATTCCTCCTGAGCTATGCTCAACACACAGAAGGGATTTCTACAAAACTCCCAAGAATTCACCCGAAACAAAACCCAAAACATCAAGCCCAACCAAACGGTCGCGGCCACGTCCATACAGGTGCAGGTGCAGTTGGCTGGTGGGGAGGAGGACACATGGGGAGGTGTGTGAGGCTGTCTGGGTGGCCGTGGCATTGCTGTCCCCCTCCCCATGCCATGCCCACGCCGCAGCTGCGCTTGGCCCCGCGAGCGCTGGCGGCGATCGATGGGGCACGGCGAGGAATG